TCTGCTCTGCTCTGCTCTGCTCTGCTCTGTTCTGCTCTGCTCTGCTCTGCTCTGCTCTGCTCTGCTCTGCTCTGCTCTGCTCTGCTCTGCTCTGCTCTGCTCTGCTCTGCTCTGCTCTGCTCTGCTCTGCTCTGCTCTGCGCAAAAAATTAATCTCATGTGCTTTCAAATCTCACCTCTCTAATTCTTGTAGGTGTGGAGAGCTCTCCGTCTTATCGTAGACACAGGTCTTCACAACAAAGGCTTCTCTAGAGAAAAAGCTTTAAAATTCTTCGCGGACTACGCCTGGGATACATCAGATGGCGCATCGAAAGAAGTAACTCGCTATCAAAGCGATCCAGGTCAAGCTACAGCCTACATGGTCGGCCAACTCCATATAATAAAACTGAGGGAATACGCCACGAAGAAACTGGGCAAGAAATTCAATCTGAAAGATTTCCACTTCTACCTGCTCTCACAAGGGTCAGCTCCTCTTAGTTATTTGGACGAGAGTATTTCGAGGTACGTGGAGTGTACGTTGAACAACGGTAAGGGAGACGGCTGTCATGATGTACTCTATCCTGTTGGTAACGACGACAAGACTACTGCATCAGATGGCATCTTCGATGATACAGAATGGGGCGGCTACCCACCCGAGCGCTACGTACCATACCATTATATATGAAAAGATAGTCAATTGTATAGAGTTGATGATATTGAAATGTGAAAAAGTGTAGACGAACATATTATAACCCTTGTTGGTCACGATTTTAATTTTCCATCGTGCAATGTTTTCATATATTATAGGTTTGAGTGATTTTATAGCTAGTTCAAAAAGTTTTGTTTACGAAAACAGCGAACGAAATTTACTGTGAGTATCGATTATTTATTCCGGATCTTTTTTCTCGTGTTCTCCCACCATTCCGCGCTGGATATTTCGACAGTAAACCGCTTCAATCTATCGTTTATTGCTTAAATACACTAATTTTTCCCACTCATCGCTGATTGTCTTGCTGCGCTCGTGGGTCCACTTGAGTTTTGTCAAGAGGACATAAATCACTTGAGTATTTTTTTTAATTTTGATTCAAAGAAGATAGAAAGGTTTATTAGTAATTAGTTTTCATTAGTTTTTCAATAGGTGACCATTCGTCATTTCCTAAGTAAAAAAAAACATGCGTAGAACAGTATTGTAAACTTAAAGACAAAAAACATTTCGAAAAATCTTGAACGATAACTGCTATCGAAACTGCTACGTTTATGCTGTAATACACAATGTCCTCTTAATTGAACTGGGTATGGTAAATTCCACCTAGTGGTTCGCTCGTTTCCTCTAACAACCTTAAGTAAATTAAAAAAAACATGTTTTGACAACAACTGCGATCACGAAAGTTGACCAATACTTGGATTTTGGAAAGAAGTTATTAGTAGGACATCATTTCCTGGATCGACCCTGGAGTTCAACGAAGCGTCATTAGGTCGTTTAATAAAATTTCCACTTTTCGAAATTGAACACATTTTCCGATTAGAGTTTTAGAGTGGTTTCAATAAACCCATGAAATAAACCCATAGCATAGCATAGCATATACTAAAGTAAACATCAATCATATCGTATTCTTTTATGTACAGCAATATGCACAAATTATGATCTTTTTTGCTCATACAGCCTTTTGCAAAAATTATGAGAATTGTTGAAATATCTAAATATAATATCGAGTGCATGATGGGTAATCCCACGCGATGCCCTTAGTCCCTTGTCTTTGTAGTTTAGGTTTTTTTTTGGCGACAGACTTATCCGTAGTTCTGAACATTTTCTTGATGTCAACAATGAATTATTCTAGCAAAGCCGCGTGTTCTGGACAATATATGGATATGGATATTATGATATTTAGATATTTAGACAATTCTCATAATTTTTGCAAAAGGCTGTATTTCAAGTATATATAAAATATATCAAAAATTATGGGATATCAACGCCAAAATTTTTTCTCCGAAAGTATTAGTACTAGGCAACTTATAATAACTTATAATTTCTGATATTTTCATGTATTTACTAGTTACTTTTAATAGCTGGTAAAGTATAGTATAGCATTTATACATTGCATTATATCATATCTCTACTAAGAGGTTTACTTAATAGCTGGTATAGATTAGTATAGAATAGTCAATGCCATTTAAGTTGTTCAGTTGTGAAGACAAAACAATACCTTTTCTTTTCAAAATCCTTTTCTTTGTAGAAGGGGGTGGAAATATTCTCTTCAGGTCGCAGTTTATCAAGACTGCAACCACGAAGTCATTTGCATATATCGTGTTTTGAATTTCTTTGCAAAAATACTCAATATGAAATTCCAAAACTACTTTGCAATGTCAATAACATTTTACATTTGCTATCTATCCAACGTTTAGAATTACAGTTATTCCTGGGAATTTTAAAAACACATTTCTTTATGTCTTTACAATTGAACAAGGTAAAAAGATTGACTGTATGTTAACATACGTCTTTGAATGATGTAAATGTTGTAAAATAGTCAAAGAAAAGTATACTAACACATGTGAATCATTTATCAAATCTAGAAAGAATATCTATAGAACGTTGACGAATTGTTTTTGGATATTTTTTTAATGCTGTGCTCCTAGTTCTATTCTAGAAGCCCAGCGGGATATTAATTAAATTTATTTTATCAATATATATTTTATAAACAAATGATATTGTCGAGAACTTTGAGTGAACAAGCTGACAGAACAGCTTGTTCAAGCGAAATATTATTTTTACCAACGAATGGAAACTTCTGAAAACCATGACACTGCATGCAGGCGCACGAGACGTTTGTGAGCCAGTTAGCGTAAATTGTCCGTATTTATTCCATTTTAAGCAATGCTTTACTTAAACGCTTGTAAAACAAGCCCGCTCAGTTTATTTTGGAGGATGGTTTGGTTTATTTAGGAAGGATGTAAAAGGGACAGCCGATATGTTTCCTTTTAGCCTCCGGCGTCACACGTCCAATTTTGCCATCCCCTATCAATCCTGCACTTTTTATTGATTGTACTGAAGTTTTAACGAATATTTGCCCATACAAGTGGGAAAACCAGCCAGGAAATCATCTAAAATTCTTCTAAATCGTAGTATTTTGTTTTGATATAGATTTAGGATTGCTAATTGTAGTGAGAATAAGGTATATTTGCTACTTTGTACCCGATATTATGTTCTTAAAAGTTAACCACCATTTCTGGAGGACCACAGCTAGAGGTCCACCATCATGGTGCCGGCTACATTTCCTTCTAAAAAATCCAGTAGCTTATAAGATTGCTTATATCTTGGCAAAAAATTCTCTTCGGCGAAAAAATTTTCAGAGATTGAAAGTTTTACTCGCTCCTTCACATGGATTACTTGAATTTTGTTTGAGACTAAGTTTAGGGAAAATTTATTTTTCCATGACGAACGCGAAAACGAAGAGTATATTTTTTAAATATCAAAAAATGGCAAAAACTAATAAAGCATCTGATTAAACTTTTGAATAAATTAAAGTCTGTATTTGATTGACGTGGTCATTGCTCTCGGAAGGAAATGATTCGGAAAGCGAGATATTTCGAGGTGATATATCTAGTACTGTCTCTTTGAGCAAGGAGATTATCGTGAGTCGCCTTTTACTTTCCCAGACTTTTTTTAATTTTGGCTCTTGGGAAGTTCAATACAATATGTCAAATGGGTTCGAACTGAATACGATACTGCATAACACCAATATGCGTTGCTGTCCATGGTTTTATGAAATTGGCATTGCAAAATGACAATTATAAGCTGAATATCATTTTAATGATGGCATAGAGATGAGTAGTCACTTTTAAAAAGAGAAAATCCTTTTTATCGCGATAGTCTGGCGACTAACAATGCATTTTATACCATTTTCAGTATTGAATGTGTTTTGAAGTGGTTATATAATGGGAAAAGAGAAAAGTGTATTGGTTAAGCATCGATACATATTTATAAGACAAGCAATTAAACAGGTGCTTAGTTTAATTGAATTATCAGCATTTCTCTTCGCTCCGCACATTGAGGAAGTCCTTTAAAATGAACATAACTTCAAATCATCGAATTTTATGTCCAAGTTTAACTATCTCTCACAATAAGGATTCTCGAAACTTTGACTTCATCACTAGTGTTATAGTTTGTATCATTAATGGTCTACTTGTACTTCCAACAACGTTTCTAAACTTGCTGATAATTCTAGGTATCCTTCGAAATCCTTATCTTCGAAAGCCGTCGTATCTGCTAATCTGTGCTTTGGCGTTCACAGATTTTGGCGTCGGAGTCTTGTTACAACCACTGTTCATCGTGAGGAAAGTCGCTCTCTTTTCGTCACGACATGATATTTACTGCACCTTGGTTCATTCTGGGAATATTTTAGCTCATTTGGTGTGTAGCCCTTCGTTTTTCATTGTCACTGTCATAAGCATTGACAGATATCTTGCAATACGACTACAAACGCGCTACAATCACATCGTAACAGTTAAAACGGTACTCAAGTTTCTAATTGGATGCATGGTTAGTGCTGTAGCAGTGACTTTAGCAAGGCTTCAAGCTACAAAACCAGGCTACATGGGAATAGCAGCAGCCCTGATGTTCATCCTTCTGATTGTGATACTGTCTTGCTACTTTGCTTCGATAAATACTTTGAAGATCCATCAACGACAAATGGATAACATTCAGGAATCCATACTTGTTCAAACAGCACAATACAAACGTACTCTCAAGACACTTCTTATTATTGTTTTTTCACTGTTTTTGTGTTATATTCCTTTTGTTGGGGTAGTTATTGCTATAGCTTTCTATGGTCGGAATAAAACTCTCACCATTGCGTGGGAGTGCACCTCCACTTTGCTATATTTGAATTCTTATTTGAATCCGTTGCTACATCTCTGGAGATGTAAGGAACTTAGGAGGTCTTGTTTGAGTATGTTACGATCGATATGGCATTATAATGAATAAAGGGACTTTCTTATATAGCAATTATTGCAATTCTGAGTGAATTTTATTATTGATGCTGGAACTGAGAACCCTGTGTGAGCGCTCTTTGAGCGGTTTTTCATAAAACTAAAAGTGTGTCAGTAACTGTATATTTTCACTGCATGCTTGAACATCTGTTAGATATGTTATTGAAGAAAATAATCAAATATATTCTTTCTCGTAACCGATTTGCCGACTACCCTAGACGCTATAATATAGTTAATCCAAATAAAAGTTAAACCTCACAAGCAATTAAAACAGCCATGTAAAAACGGAAGTAATACTCGTTTCATGACGTCAGACTAAGCGCGCTATGTTCACCTAGAAAACGATCATTGTTGACGCACTATAAGATACTGCGCAATATTTATAAGGAGGGGGTTTGAGAAATGAGCTCATTACTACACCCTCTCGCTAACGAAATAGTTACAATCTGCCCCCCGTCCCCTACCCCGTGAATTTACTTATTTGTTATTCGCAGTGAAGAAAATGGCACGGTTTTCTTGAGACGTTTTCCACTTCAATAAGTATTGATTTTGACGTCCCCCCTCTTTAAGCACATAAAATTAGATTTTGGATTCTCAACCCTATTTTTAATGTAAATTCTCTGATAATAACTTGTTGATGCTCACAAAAGTGTTCCTATCAATATGTTACTTTTAAAATACAGCGAAGAAGGTCCCATTGTTGAAGAAGAAAATATTCGGACATAATCAGTGGTCTTAGGTCTAATAATGTGACTTTTTCGAAACATTAGTTTTTTCCGATTTATATTTTTCTTTAATCAAAAAGACAAACGCAACTAGATTCATTTTTGCCACGTTTCGACATCCTCTGATGCCATTCTCAAGCAATTTTGAATTTATTACAACTGAAGAGCTATATATACACATGAACCATTGCGAAAAACAATAAGATAAAATATACAAAGTATTGTTCTAAACAAATAGTTTCGCGCGCACGGAGTCTGATTGTACATTGAGTGTTGGCTTAAGTGATCTTATATAAAACATCTCATTTATTAAGCAATCAAACTTGCTCGTGCATTTTTTAATCACAGTAAAACTGTCTGTAGGTGGAACAGTCTTAAGACCGTGTTCTAGGAAGCGATGTTTTCCAATCGTTGAGTAACGGTGCTCATCAATTCGCTTGTGTAAGTGACGTGCTGTGTAGCCAACATAGCTTGCATCACACAAACCACATTGAAACTTGTAAATAACGAGTTGTTGGCTGACAAGTGGAGGCTTTGGTTCTTGCATTTTAAGCATATCATTGAGCTTACGACAAATAGCTTCCAGATTAGAGTCCAGTTTTTTGTTGAGCTGAGTAAGTTGGCGTTTGACTATGTCGGCTGGTTTTTGGTCAATAAAAGGCAAAACTATCCTAATGGTGTTATCTGATGCATCTGATTCAGGTTGCTCACTTCTACTGGTAGGTGGATTCTTGTTGAAATAGGTGATAGCAGACTCAATCATCTTATTAGGGTAATTCAACTTGCTGAAAACCATTCTTATATTTTCGCATTCATTTTCGTAGGCTTCTTTTGTAGAGGAAAGATTGTGAGC